GTGTTTTAGTAGAGACGGGGTTTCACCATGTTGACCAGGATGGTCTCGATCTCTTGACCTCGTGATCCACCCGCCTCGGCCTCCCAAAGTGCTGGGATTACAGGCCTGAGCCACCGCGCCTGGCCTTATTTTATTTATTTATTTTTAGACGGACTCTGTTGCCCAGGCTGGAGTGCAGTGTCTCAATCTCTGCTCACTGCAACCTCCGCCTCCCGGGTTCCAGCAGTTCTCTGCTTCACCCTCCCAAGTAGCTGGGATTGCAGGCACCCGCCACCATGCCCAGCTTAATTTTTTGTGTTTTTCATAGATACAGGATTTTACCATCTTAGCGAGGCTGGTCTTGAATTCCGGACCTCGTGATCCAACCCAACTTAGCTTCCACAGTGCCGTGATTACAGATGTGAGTCATTGCACCCAGCTGTATGTTGGTAGTATTTGTATTTATTTATTTTTGAGACCGAGCCGTGCTCTCATGCCCAAGCTGGAGTGTGGTGGCACCATCTCAGCTCACTGCAACTTCTGCCTCACAAGTTCAGGTGATTCTCCTGCCTCAGCCTCCAGAGTAGCTAGGATTACAGGCGTGCGCGTAACTACACCAGCTAATTTCTGTAGTTTTAGTAGAGTCGGTTTCACCACGTTGGTCAGGCTGGTCTCGAACTCCTGACTTCAGGTGATCTGCCCACCTCGGCCTCCCAAAGTGCTGGGATTACAGGTGTGAGCCACCACGCCCAGCTGTGTTTTTGTAATGTTTTTAAAAGAATAAATTAGGCCTGCTGCAGGGTGGAGAGGCGGGATAGTGTGGGGCAGGAGGACCGACCCCTGGGGCCTGGGGTCTGTGGCCACGTAGGATGCAGTCCCTAGAGGGCCAGAAGAGCTGGGAAGTGGGGCAGGCAGGGCCGGGGGAGTGCCGCCCTCCTCCGGCCTGCAGCTGTCGGAGGATCCACAGTGACGGCTCTGTTTACCGGTCGCCATGGTCCCAGCGGGAGGGTGTGTTACCACCAGGCGGGGGCATCAGGCAGACAGTGTTGACGGCCTTAAAGGACCCGGAGGCCAGCCTTTGTGGGAGGCCTCACCTGCCTGGAAGGACAGGCGCATGGGCGCTTCCTCCCCCTCTACAAGGGCCTCACTGATTCCACTCAAAGGGCAGGGGAGCTCCCCTCACTCCCTCAGTCTCCCCAGGGAGCCAGCCAGGCCTGTCCCCTACAGCTGATGTCAGGTCCAGAGGCCATCCTAGAATCACAGGTTTGTGGGAACCAAAGCTCTAGCTGCTAGGGGTTCCGTTCTCACTGGAGCCCACCCCTGAGGCTCCCCCACTCCCAGAGCAAGCGGTCATCTCCCTCAGTCGGTGAAACCCAGGCCTAGGAGGCCTAGGAGCTTGGCAGGTAGCTGGGGCAGAGGACCCAGGGAAGACTAGGGGCCAAGGGGGCAGAGGGAACTGAGGGCAGAAGGGACAGAGCCACTGAAGAAATGGCCATGGGGCCCCTCAGGCCTCATCTTCCTGACTGGCCACACACCTCCTTGTCCCCTAATGAGGTCTGACCAGGGCAACTCGGAGGCGCTGGGAAGAGAGGTGCCCCCATCAGGGCTGCAGTTCTCGATGGGAGGATGTGACTGGTCACAACAGCAGACTCAAATGAGCTCACGCCTGCAATCCCAGCACTGTGGGAGGCTGAGGCGGCGGATTGCCTGAGGTTGGGAGTTTGAGACCAGCCTGACCAACATGAAGAAACCCCGCTTCTACTAAAAACAAAAGTAGCTTTCTCTGCTGCGAGCTTCCAGAATGACAAAGAAAAGAAGGAACAACGGTCGTGCCAAAAAGGGCCGCGGCCATGTTCAGCCTATTCGCTGCACAAACTGTGCCCGATGCGCGTCCAAGGACAAGGCCATTAAGAAATTCGTCATTCGAAGGCCGGGCGCGGTGGCTCAAGCCTGTAATCCCAGCACTTTGGGAGGCCGAGGCAGGTGGATCACGAGGTCAAGAGATCGAGACCATCCTGGTCAACATGGTGAAACCCCGTCTCTACTAA